CCGTCCCGTCCCCCCCCGCCTCGGAGCTCGCTCGGTTGCAGTTGAGGAGAAGGTTGTGCCTGTGGGGCGCCGGTAGCGAAACGAGCCGCCCTCGGGTCTCCTCAGAGCCCCGCAGAGCTTCCCCTGGGGCCCGGGCCAGGCGTGAACGCCCCGCTCGCCTTTGAGACGCAGGCCTGAGTCAGCCCCGCTCAGCCACGTCGCTTGTTCCTCGCGTAGGACGAGCTGTGGTTCATACCCGATTCTTGCGCCGTTTACACGATGTACGTTGGAGAACCCACTCCCGTGGTTATGGAAGCGGGGTACAAAACACCGTGAATTTGTCAGCGCTGTGCTGGAATCTAGTTAATTAGCGTGTTTTGCTTACCGCGATGCTAGTGCCATGCAGTGTGGAGTACCTAGTGAAATGCAGCTCTGCCTGGCACTGTTGGGATGCAGCAGTTATAAAATTGGATTCCAGCTACACCCGTAAATGTGTTGGAGGTTAGGCTTTGGTGCTGAAATAAATTAGAGAAGCTAATGCTTGACTTGGGCTGCAGACCTTTATCGGCTTGGAGGTGGTGCTGTGGAATGTTAATGTGCCCTTTCTTAGCACAAAAGCATTGTTCCAGATATGCGTTTTCTACTTCAAGGGGCCATTATGGGCACCTAATTCTATATTGGTCACCAGAATAGTCTGCAGCAGACGTTTCGGGAAGTGCTTATTGCTTTTTCGTACGCTCAGGACAGCTGAATGTGCTGCACCAATTGGCTACAAGATCCCAAAGCTGCCACTCATCTTAAAAATCTAAACTGATGCCTGCAGCACTGATGTCAATCTGTATGTGTAAAGGCTTAATACGGCAAGGGGAAATGTACTGGCAGACAACAGGAGGAATGTGTGAGGAAAGAACTGGAACCGTGAAGGATACTTTATCAGTCTAATGTCTATTTTATTCACATGGAGTAAGATTTGCTGATTTTATGGGGAGAGGAATACTGTTTCTGCTACCCATTTAATAGCTATTTCTGCTATCATTATTAAAACATCAGCAGGGTCATTTGAAATGTGACTGCAAGATATGTTAAGCTGAAGATCACCTGCAGTGTGATGGTGCTTGCTCTTGACAGTCTGTCTGTCCCTATATCCTCTCTCCTGCAGCAGCCATTACCTACTGAATAAGGAGAGCCTTTCCTTAGTTTTCCTCGTTTGTGCCGAGGAGGCATTGCCCGCCTTGTGCTGAACCTGTGCCAACGTCCCAAGGACAGATGAGCCGTGTCATTTTATCCTGACGTGTTTCTGTTGATACTATTCTTATTCATGTATCCGTTTTAATCGTTTATGTTTGATGTCATCGAGCAGCAATGCAGCGTTCTGGTCGAGTTTGGCCCCCACTGTAAAACAGAAAAACAAGATGACGTGCCATCCGCGCTGCTAAATAGATGACTCTGCAAGGCAGATGCACCTGTCCGAGGCACCTAGCCGAGGTTTAGGTATTAGCAAAGTCTTTCCAACTTACTTGACCAAAATAGAAATCCATTTACCCTTCATAAGCTGTTCAGTGTCTTTCATGCTGCTTTTCCCTAATCAATTATAAGCTATTTTTAGCCTGCACCGGGATTTTCTAAATTCCATCCTCGTACGTTATCCTATTTGATGCTTTAGAATAAAACAGGCGGCAAAACTGGCCTTTGAGCAAGAAGTCTCGCAGATTTCACAGCAGTGGCCAATAAATGGGAGAAGAAAAGTGTCCAGCAATATCCTCATTAACTGTGATAATATTCTCATTCACAGTTGAGCTGTCAAATCTTTTCGAGCAGAGTTTAAGGTCAATTCTGGAAATCGTGTGCCTCGTTATTCTTGTAGGCCAAGCTGGTGAGAAGTGGAAGGGAAAGAAAAGGATACGCGTTCTGGAGCAGCGTAATAGGGGTCACCAGCATCCTACATTGCGCCTAAGCTGCTCCTTGAGTGTCCTTCTCACAAGCCTTGAAACGAGGTGGGTTTTGCTGTGGAGGTTTAAAATAAGACTTGGGTGATACTTTTGTCCCTTTCCAGATTGCTGACCCTGAGACCTGTGACCGAATGTACGAGAGCTTAGTCAGGATCCACACCAACTACTACAAAAACAAGGTGAGCTTTGGCATTAGCCATCATCCCTCTTTTAGGGGGTGAGTCACCACCTACTGCAGTTGGCTGCCTCATCCCAGCGGGGTTTCTGGGAGTGTGTAACAGACAAATGAGCCGTCAGGTGGATGCAGCACTACCTGGTGCCTTTGGTCACTCTGGGAAAGCTGCAGACATCTTGGCCTGCGTGACATGTATGAACAATGCAGATGATAGTTCTTGGTATGCGTGAACAGAATTCTTCGAGCTTGACTGAAAACGAGCTCAGGCTCTACTGTATGGTGACATTTTTACCTTTTTTAATGCACTACAAGTAACATCTTTCTCTCTCTCTCTCTCTCCCCTCTCACCTACGTGCTCGCTTGTGAAGTATCCACGCCTGAAAGACACAAGCTTCACTGGAGTGACAGTAGAAGATTGCAAGATGATACTAGCAACAGGTACTGATACCGTGCTTGATTTGAGAATAAGTCAGTGCAGGAGATAAAGTACATTCCAGTCTTTGTGGTGTTCACTGCATCACTTCTACTAAACACCCGTGACTAAAGGACAGAATGGGACTGCCGTGCAAGTATCTTGGGATGTTTAATGAGGAGTAAGTTCAGGAATAATTGAGGAGATCTTCAGTAATCTATCAGGGCAAAAAGTCGATTGTATTTTGCACCGGGCAGGAACAGCAAAGGGTTTACAAGGGCTCTTTGAGATCAGATAGCAGGAGCTATGCGAAAGAAATGCACATTTGCTACATCATTCCAAAAATTCTCAGCTTCTGTTTCACCATGTTCAAATTTCCTTCAGTATTTTTCCTTTTGTATTAGATTTCGAGAGAAAACAGGGTACCACGATGCAGAAATACTCTCAGCCAGATCATTTATTAGGTGCGACGTAGGAAGCTAGTGCAGTTTTGTTCCGCTCCAGTTCCTAACTTTGACTGCAGTGCGTGGAAACTGAGTATTAGTTGGTAGTGATAAGGGACTCCCCGCACAATTGATTGGAAGGGAAAACAAACTTGCCTCAGGGCCCGAAATAGAAATTCATTAAGATGAAAAGTCAAAAAAAGGAAAATACATGTGAGGCAAAGCTTTTATAAGAGGGCTTTCATTCCTTTGCTTTTCTTCCTCTTTCCCCATCTCTCTCTCTCTCCCCCCTCCCCTCCTTTTGCAGACATTCTGAAACAGATGGAAGACATGAAAAAAGGGACGTGGAAAAAACTGCGAGAAAAGTTTTATGCCAAGAAACCTGAAGAGGACTCGAAGTGATAGGCTAACTCCCAGTTCTCCACTGTATATATTCCTAAAGCACTGTATGTTGCCATGATGAATAAAACCATTTATTCCTCTTAGCAACAGCATTTTTATTCAGACCTACACCTTGCACCCTTCACTTTTAGTGCTCTCTTTTTTTTTTTCCTGAAAAATCTAGGACATAGCTTAACACATCTGTGCTGAAACCATATGAGGGATGTAATTTTGCACCGGGCAGGAACAGCAAAGGGTTTACAAGGGCTCTTTGAGATCAGATAGCAGGAGCTATGCGAAAGAAATGCACATTTGCTACATCATTCCAAAAATTCTCAGCTTCTGTTTCACCATGTTCAAATTTCCTTCAGTATTTTTCCTTTTGTATTAGATTTCGAGAGAAAACAGGGTACCACGATGCAGAAATACTCTCAGCCAGATCATTTATTAGGTGCGACGTAGGAAGCTAGTGCAGTTTTGTTCCGCTCCAGTTCCTAACTTTGACTGCAGTGCGTGGAAACTGAGTATTAGTTGGTAGTGATAAGGGACTCCCCGCACAATTGATTGGAAGGGAAAACAAACTTGCCTCAGGGCCCGAAATAGAAATTCATTAAGATGAAAAGTCAAAAAAAGGAAAATACATGTGAGGCAAAGCTTTTATAAGAGGGCTTTCATTCCTTTGCTTTTCTTCCTCTTTCCCCATCTCTCTCTCTCTCCCCCCTCCCCTCCTTTTGCAGACATTCTGAAACAGATGGAAGACATGAAAAAAGGGACGTGGAAAAAACTGCGAGAAAAGTTTTATGCCAAGAAACCTGAAGAGGACTCGAAGTGATAGGCTAACTCCCAGTTCTCCACTGTATATATTCCTAAAGCACTGTATGTTGCCATGATGAATAAAACCATTTATTCCTCTTAGCAACAGCATTTTTATTCAGACCTACACCTTGCACCCTTCACTTTTAGTGCCCTCTCTTTTTTTTTTCCTGAAAAATCTAGGACATAGCTTAACACATCTGTGCTGAAACCATATTGGAGCGATGTAGTGTAGAAGAAAGCACTTTGTGGTGTTAGACCAGATCCTTTGTGGTACAAGAAATGTAACAACCGGGAGATGCACAGAGCAAGTAGGAACAGCCGTGCTAGCTTTAAATTTGCTTGTGAAGGTAACAGTAGTGATGATGTGAAAACATAGCTATGCTTGTGTTTCTGTGTGTTAGCACCGGTAACAGTGAAATTGGGGGAGGGATAATTTTAATAATCACATTTATTTTCCTTTTGAGAAGAGACAGGAGAGGACTGAGGGTGAGTTTACCATGGTGACGGTGGAGCAGTGTAAGAGTTTAATTGAGATTTCAATCAAATGCTGCAGCAGTATGTTGCTGGTCCAGGCAACGAGGCTGGTGAGGGGTCTGGAGGACAAGTCTTATGAGGAG